ACATATACATATACGTACATACATGCATGCATGCATAACACATACATTTTCACTTTCAAAGGCGCAGAATCCATGTCGGATGCAGCCTATGAGCAAACTGGCGGGCTCGGGACTTGCGAAGTTTGCCAGTATCTACTGTCAGCAGCTTCCTGCCGAAAGGCAGCGAGACGTCACACTGCATCAATGCCAGGACATTCGAAGGTCGAGACGATGAGTGCAGCCGGAACCCCGTGCGACCATAGACGCACGACCCCCCGAACTAGATCAGCAACAAGCCTCATGCGTTCGAGTGGAAGGTAGTGGACAGAGAGTTTGGCAAGCCGCCACGGCAGAAGGAAAGCACCGAAACACCGCCAGAGGACTTCCAAGACGAAAAGTCCAGGAGAGAGGGCCTCTCAATGCAGGAAGCAAGTGACAGAAATCACAAGGCACACGGACAGGCCGCCCAAGGAGGCATCTGTTGGAAGAGATGACATGGCACAGCCCCTTCATATGCTCGAATGAAACAATGTCGGAGGTCAAGCCAAGGAAGCAACGTCGAAACACCTCGAAAGGTGGAGCAAACCTGAACCCGGCCATTCGGGTCAGGGACCAACCATTCTGAGAAATCAACGCAAACAAGGAGGTTGGCAATGTGCGTGTCCAACTTGGGGATATTGTCGAGATTGAGTAAGCGCTCGGAAGAGGTATTTGGTGATAAACGCCACCATTGCAGGTATTCGCTGAGCCTCCTCTATCGTGAGGCGAGAGCATGCTACCTTAACATTTCTTCGAAGGATCGGGGACGACGTTCATTGGATCCAAACTGGCGCATAGTGTCTTCTATGGCGCATTTATTGTATCTGCACCCTTCTGTGCTGCGGTCGCAATCGGGACACTCGTTCCTTCGTTCACGACTCGCAGCTGCTTGGTGCTGAACACTTCCAGCCGTTTGCGAGAATGCTTTGCGCTGCTCATCGCTGGGTGGAAGAAGCGTTTTGTGGATCGGTCGACCATACATCGACACGTGATGTGGGTTTCAGTATCCCCGAATGATACTGTCTTCGCACCGACGATGGACTTGCCATATCAACAAATGCAGCACAAGCGAAATAAGCGAAAGCGAAGTTATCGGAATGATGTGCGAAGTCTGCCTGAGGGTTGCGGCACGCCCCTCAAAAGTCCGAGGGCGTGGGCGCCGGGCTGTCAACCCTTCGACCAACGGAAGTTCGGCTCAGCGGAAGCTGGCGGGGCAACAGATGTGCTCTCAGCAGGAGCACTGTGCTTGATGTGCTGCGGGCATTTATCGCCGCACATACATGTACCCTTTGCGAAGTAGAAGCACTCACCCGATTCCTTAGGGATAGGGGACTTTGATCGTGGTGGGAACCCCATGAAGAGTTTCTCCCTTTGAGATTGTGCGAGAACTTCCACCCGCCTCCCCGCGTGCAGCGACCATGCTTGAAGTCAAGACATATGTTTGACTACCGCGAGGAGACCTCGAAGGAGATCGGCGCGTGGGCGCCGGGGCAGCCCCGCCAGGGCTCCGAGATCCAAGCCTCGGTGAGCCGCGTCTGGGCGACCACCTACGCGGAGAGCCGCGCCTTACCGACGACTCCGGTATGGGCGACTTCGTCTAGAATTGTGCCAGCCAGGACTGTGAGATCGTCTCCTCTGGCCGGAGCCAGTGCGATGCGGGCTCCCATGCGCGGGAGCAGCATGATGACATCGACCCGAAGTTGATCGCGTCGCGGAGTACATTTTCTCCTGGTTGCGTCTTCGGCGCCACACAGTAATCGCGTTGGTGCAGATGTTCCGCAGATACGCATAGTTCCGGACGGATGTGTCCTGATCCCAGGGCTGCATATAAAGCTCAAGACATCGCAGCTCGCGAACCTTCTCATAGAACAGAGCACAGAGCATTTGGTCCTCAGGTCGGTCAACAGAGATGCCTGCGAGGACATGATTTTATTTGTCGCAGAATGCCTCGAGCCTCTCCTCTTCGACACCGTACCTGAATCGATCGAGACCGACCTTACAAGATCGATAGTCTTGAGTGTTGAGTCACCGGTAACATGTGGCCTCAAGAAATCATAGAGCAGCCACAGTAGCTGCCTGCTCCCGAGCCTTCGACTAATAGTGTGCATGCGCTCGGTCTCGGTTTGAATCTTGTTCTTGAAGGCGATGGACTTGACACACTCGCGGAATGCGGAGTTGCACTCATTCTCGAGCATTCCATACTTGCATTACCCGGTCAAGTCCTCATACCGAGTACCACCTTGAATTCAGACAGGAGAGAGCAACGATTCCGATCCATCTCCTGAGCTGAGCAGGCTCGGGTTCAGGCTCAAGCCGGAACGACTTGCACTTCACCTTCTTGGCGTCGCTGAACAATCCGTCACCTCGGGGCTCGCCGTCAGCCTGATCGTTCGGCGTGGACGGAGCCCCGGTTGCACTTTCAAGGCATGCGCGGCAGAAACGCATCGGATCACGACAGCATCACTGCAGCAGGCCACTTTGCACATAACACAGCTGCGTCGGCTGGGCTGTGCAGCGGAAAATGGTTCAGGCACCGCTCGCACTGAAAGGTGTGCGTGCCTTCCAATTGGCCGGAGCGTTAGTGGATCAAGACCGCCATCGGGTGGAGGAGGAGGGCCATCGCCTCCTGGGCCACCACTCCATCATGCGTCCGATGGTCCGCTGGGCACGCGCCTACTCTCAATGACTCAAGGGTGAGAGAGATGGTGAAAGTAGCTGTAAAGCTTTCTACGACTGGAATGGGACCAGCTCGTAAGAAATCTGACGCGGGAATGTGGTCGGGAGTGACCATCCTTTCAAAGGTTGCTCCACGATCGCACTGAGGTTGATTGCGGGCAAGTCCTACACCTCCCTAGGTGTAGACGGCCCTTTTCCTGAGGCCTCGCAGAGCGTCTTGAGCAATCAATCTGCGAGTGAAACAAAGTTGGCAAGCAACCAAGGCGTACACGTGTTCGCAAGTCGGTGACAAATCACAATACATACACACATACACCCATACATATACATATACATCTACATCTACATCTACATCTACATCTACATCTACATCTACATCTACATATACATATACATTTACATACACAGATCACATACACACACATTTATACATGTACATAAACATATACATCTACATATACATCTACATCTACATATATGTATGTATATGTATGTGTATCTGTATGTGAACCTGTAAATGTATATGTACGTGTATGTGTGTATGTGTGTGTACGGGTAAATCCATAAGAACAAACTGTCAGACCTTTTGCCTGTAGACCTTATGAAAACAGACAGGGTTTGGTGCAGAACGACTATGCGTCAATCAATCAATAAATCAACATATATATATATATACATACATATGTATATGTATATGTATATGTATATGTATATGAATATGAATATGAATATGCATATGCATATGCATATGTATATGTATGTGCACTTGTACGTGTATAAACATACGTATATAGATAGATAGATAGATAGATAGATAGATAGATAGAAGGAGGGAATGAGGCTACTCGAGCAGAGCCGGGGCATCCACTTAGTCGTGTCTCGTCACACCCGTCAGTGAAGTTGCGGATGTTGCACGTCTGTCTGCTTATGCATGACCGATTCGGCAAACGAAGAGACCGGAAAACATGTGAATGTGATTGGCTCGACGAGAGAACGACTGGAAGGACTCATCCTCCACAACAAACTGCCAGAAGGTGCCTGCATGCCTGGATTGTGTATACAGTGTAGTCAGCCTACCCCAGCAGCCTTTCAGCTCGCTACAGCGAGTGGACCCCATTCTCTTCGATGCTACATCACCTACAGACCTACACCATTTCTGGTGAGACCTGCGTAGCGGAGGGCGTCTCCTCTCTGTCCTCAGGCGATTCGGCGGGCACGATTGCAGCAGCTTTGGGCTTTGACGCCAAGTCGCTCGAAATCCAAGGGAGGCCTTCAGGTCCTCCTCGCAAGGCGCATGGGCAGGGAGACACACGCAGCTTTCAAGTTTCGACATGACATGGCCCCCAAACCAAAGCCAAGAGCTTCGAGCCATCTGTGGAGGCCCCCATCGGCTCCAAGGTCCTGTGAGGCCTTCGCCAGGTGGGGCCCAAGAAGCTCCCGGAGGCGACGGCGCAAGCCAAGACGGTCGAAGGGCCGTTCGGGGCTCAAGGCCACGATGTGTACAAGGCCTCCCGCATCTCTGCAGGTGCTCTTCTCAGAGCTGTGCTGCTTGGTGGAGCTTTTCTGCACTCCAAGCTGCCGCGGCGTGTGTCAATGAAGAGGTCGGGATGCATCAGGAGACCTCAGCACAAGGAAGGCTTGTGGACTCCCTTTAGTAAAGGGCCCTTGTGCAGTCAAAGGGCGCGCTTGGCCCTCCACCGGGCACTGCTGTCGAAGCCACTCGGAGAAGGGAACCCTCTGTGGTGCCAGGGAACCCAAGGGCTGGGCCCCATACACGACGGCATCCACCACCTACGGGGCGCTCCGACTCCGCCCGCCACGAGTCACTCCCTCACTCCTCTTCTCTCTTCTCTTCTGACTCTGCTGAGTGTTCGAGGCTTGGGCGGAGTGATGGAGGAAGATCTGGAGGACCTGTGATCGACGCTCCAAGGAGCAGCAACTTCATGTGAGGATGCCGACCATGGCTGCCAGGACTGACAACGAGCACGTTCCTACTATCACTAGTCCTGAGAGCTTCAGAAGGGGCCACCAAGGCCAGTGGGGCTAGGGCCTATAGCAGCAGCAGCAGCAGGAAGAAGAGTAGAAGTAGTAGCAGTGGTGCGGAGTCATTGCAAGACGATACGCCGGGATGGGTTTTGGGGTGTCGAAGAGCGGTGGTCTGCCTGAAACATCAGGCTGCACCGGGGGGGGTCGCCCCCCTGGCTACATGCTGCAACATGTCAAGTCCCGAATTCTCAAACCTAACCTCTTGTTAGCCGTTACCGTTTCTTACGAGTACCGACAACTCCCGCAAGTATCGCAAGCTCCTGAAGAGTTAGTTCGTGACAGCGGCTACAAAGCTCCTCCTTTCCTGGATGCTGTAAAAAGTGTTGTGAGTAACAGGGTCTCGCACTGCCATGGAAGCTACACAGCCCTCACGATGGCATTACGAAGTTACGTGCGCTGACTTACACCGCAGTCGCGTCTGGCTTTTTGCTGACGAGATGCATGCCCTCTGCGTTTGGCTGCTCCTTTCGCCCGCTCGATGGGAGCTTCAAACTCCTGGCCAAGCGCCAGGATGCCGGACCTTGACACGGCACTGCCCGTGGCAGGCCTCTGCCCTTGCAGGAGTGCTTTTTTTGAAAGGCTGCCGAGCCGCAGCAAGGCCGGCAGCTCCTCGAGCTCCCCGGCTGGCTCCAAGACCAGCTCCTCACACAACACACAACGGCCTGAGCCGGAGATGGCGAGCATCTCAATTTGCCACGGAGCGGCCAGCAGCCGTCCTAGGAGCAAGGGCTCGCGAGCTATAGCTTTGCCTTCCGCTCCCAAAAAGAAGACGAGCAGCGGATGTCACCGCTGGTGTCATGCGGCGTGTGGTATCCGCTGACAAGGTAGTTTTCCAACATGCCTTATACGGCCCGGCTGCAAACAGTATGCAAAGACTCTTCGGACAACTTCTGCTGTTGAAGTCAAGTCCACTACAACACAGTTTTACTACCCGAATCGCCGCACTTGGCCCGATGCTCCTCCCATAGCCTCCCGAGGCAAAGCAAGAACAAAACCTGAGAATTCTCATGGCACTCGTACCGCACCCCTCACCTTCAAAACACATCCGAGCTGTTCAGGCTCCCGCACAGAAATAGCCAGGGCTCCTGCACTGCTGATGTCTCATGTGCGATCAACATCACGAACAAACGTCGGGGAACACCCATTGCAAGAAGCAGCCAAGAAGCGGGACAGTGTCATTTGCTATGTTCCAGAAGCTACAGCCGGACTATGTCCGCCTACTGGAGTACCCGTGCTGTGTGCCGCTGGGCGGCGGAACTCTGGGGTGCGGTCGCTGATGCCAGCTTTGCGGAGGTCCAGCAGCTGCTGCCTTCCGGTCTGGTCCCGAGGTCTGGTCCGGTCCAGCAAAAGAAGACGAGGCTGAGGGGAAAACAGAGACGACATGTTCTCGAAGGGAGCCCTGCCAGGGGAGCGGGGCAGCGGAGGCCGGTTATAAGGACTCCCCCGGCCCCCGCCTGGTCAAGCGTAGTATCGGCGGGCCCTCTTCCGGGTAGCCGAGGAAGAAAGCCGCAAGCACGGCTTGCAACCTCAATAGGCCGAGCTCCTCCAAATCCCCGGCACCCTCCCAACCTAAGAACGCAGCTCGTAGAGTATGCAAGAGCTGGAGTAGCTGTGGTAGAACACGGCGTACTCCTCGTTAAAAGACGGGCAAGCTCAGCCGACTTGAGGTATCTTCATCACTATCTGTTCCAGCATGGTGCTCAAGCATGCAAGCACACCATGACCTGCAGTGGGGGCACAGCCTGCATCTTCTACTGTTCTACATCGCTTAACATCCCCCCCCCCCCCCGCGCCTCCGAAAACCGAAGTTCATTTGCAAGCATCGTCTGGATAGCCTGCGTCAGACAGCAGAACCCACTTCATCCCACTTCCTCTACTGGCCGCGAGCTCGGGGACCGGCAGCACTTACATTCGCTCTGCTGTTCTCTTCGAGCGATCGCAGCACGTCCTACGGCAAAGCAGTCCAGGATCGGGTGGAGGAACGAGACATGAGTCATGATCATCAATCGCACTTTCAATCCGCCTGATGTACTCGCCGCATGTCTGTGCGGCCTTGCAAAGACGTGCAACAAGAATACCTCGCCCAGTCTTCTTCTCCTTGGCCGAGGGTGTATGCAGCACGACATTCAAGCCAGCAGCCAGAACAAGAACAAGCAGAGAGCAAGAGGGGAAGGAGGGTGACCCCCCACCCACCCACCCACGCACCCCCACACACACACACACACACACACACACCCGCGCACGCACACACACACACACACACCCGCGCACACACACACACACACGC